CATTTTATTTTGAAATGTGCTTTAAAGCACAGTTCTACTAAACTAGAAACAACTAAAACTAACCCTATAGTGAAAAACAATATATACTATTAGCTGCTGGATTTTAGTTAACAGGTGGCATATGTTCAGTAATTGCCTCCTGTATCATAAAATTTAGAAACAATTAATTTTAGAATACAGCAAAACAAATTAACTATAAAATTCATAAGTCTTTGAATGTTTCCTAGTCTGGTTTCTAGTGATGCTACGAATTGCTTAGTATTTCTAAGACACAGGTCATTTTTTCCTCTAGGTGTATTATATGAAATATCTTCCATACATATGACACAGTTCATTCTTCTTGAAATCCTTTGGGTTGTTATTTGCAAGGCAATGATGTCAGACTATTTCCTTACAAAGTCACAAGTTTTGAATAAGCTATTTTTCCGAGTCATAGGCTTCAAGTAGCAAATGTCAAAAGTGATACTGTACTATACAATTCATAAAAAATACTAACAGTATGAATTCATGATCTTCAATCAATTGCTAAGTCAATGATAGATTTATCTAAATTAAATAATCAAATAAAATTAATGGCTAAGATATTTTATGCTAATTTATCTTAAAAATCCATGTCACAATACACTTGCTTAAATAAGATAAGTATAAAAATTCTATCTTGTAGTATCTGTAACGTTCACATACAATATGCTATGCTAATAATGTTCTTACTAAGAATTTCTGTTGCTTAAAATATAAAAATAGAACATGAACATCAATTTGAAAATAAAAAACAGCTCATTTTCATGCAATATCAGTATCTAAGTGAAAGATCATGCTTCCTTCAACTAAGGATATATAGAGAAAAAATTTTAAGGTAACCTATAACAATGGCACTGTGTTACATGTAAACAATACAACTTTAACATTTAAAGAAAAACAACTCATTTGTCAGTAACTCCAGTCACACTACAACCACAAGTATAGTAGAGTTTAATAATAACTACCCAGTGCACTCAACAAAGATGTAAATTAAAATGTTTTGTTTTCTCTGCTTGTTATAAATCTATTTGTATATGAAATTTGCCTTAAATGTGCACCAATAATTTTTTAGGATGCTTTATAGTTAAGAACAAAGAAAAAGTAGGCTTGAACTTCAGAAGATCTAAGAAAAGTATTCACACTGAACTAACAATATCAACACTTTTATTTCAATAATGTAAACATAAATGACCAGTTTTAAGACAAATACCATCTTTTGATTTTCAAAAAATGATCTTACTGTACTCCAATCCTTAGGTAAAATTAACCACTCAATTGTACTAATGTTGAAACTGTAATATTGCAAGAGATTTGTTTTATTGAAAGAAACCTAACTTCATTCTGCTTTTCCATTTATTTAAGAAAAATTAATGAATAAATAACTTGTGATTTTAAAAAAATGTATTACCCAATTTGAACAGCACTAAAATCTAGATACAATGAATGTAAGACTACCAAGTTCTAATTTTGAGGACTGTAAGAGGAAATAATTTATATAAAATGAACTTTGGTTTTATGATCACAAACATGAAAAACATATAAAATATACACTAGATTCCATAAAGTATTCCTGTTTGACTGTTGTAATGAATGTCTGCAGTGTCATGTTTTAGAATAAAAATAAGTACCATTGTAAAGTGTTCTAACATCCAAGGCAAACATGAAAATATTTACAGACCTATGTTATTCCCAACCAATACTGTATCCAGTTTCTCCAATTACCTACTTCAACAATCCATTAGAGAATTTTACAGATAAAACCAGTATGTTTAGTAATGTGAACTAACCACAGCTTCATATTCTAGACAAAAGAATAAAAAATATATATATTTAAAAGGAAAACCATCGCCATTCTGAAAATACCTACAATAATATAATTCCCAAACTGCGAAAAATGATGTTTTAATACAAAGCAATTTAATGTAAGCTACTTATAAAAGAAATGTAAATAAAACAAATTAAGTTCCACTAATTAATAAAAAATATATTCCTAAACCATTTGGAATGTCTGTATTCTGTGAAGATTAAATTTTTTTAAATTAATAAATCATACAGCACAGCAAATTATAAAATATATCTACTTGTAGATCACTTTTTCTGATTATAGTAACTGAATAATACACTTTATAATTCTTCATCCAACAATTGTCCTGTTGTTTTATTTAAATATTTTATATATGATACATTAAAATAGGCAATGCAATACCTATTTGTACTAATTATGAATTCATACCAATTAACATGCAAAATGAATTAATCATTTCCAAAAATATTAAAAATTATTGGCCAGAAATATGACGGGTTACCACACACTAAATTAAAGATAAAACTTACGGGGTAAAATAAAAGAAAAACATATTTAAAGAGACTACATTAGCTATAATTTTTTAACTGTGCCAATTATTTGAGTTGAAATGTATTAAAATGTTCCCAAACTGTGACTCTATTGTGTGTTGTACATGCACAAGAAAGTTTCCAAAAATACTTGAGTATTTAACTCAGCACTAAGGTACACTTACATCAATTTCGAACTTCAGATATTTTGAGTAAATCCTTTATGTTATACAGCAAAGATAATCTGTCTACTATATGCTCTCTTATCAAGCAACAAACAGAAAAATTCTACAGAAAACAAACCCCAGGCATATTCATTTTATCAGAATATGAAAGACAACGATACACATATATGGATCTGATATAAAACGAGTATCTAAATTATTGCTTTTTTATTGGAAATTATAATCAGACAACATGAATCATAATTATCTGAAATGTGCAAAATAAATACCACATATATATTGATACACACACACACACACACACACACATGACAAAAAGCAAATTGAAAGACGCTCAAAGGCTGTCATATTGAAGAGTATTAAGACCTTAGGTAATTCCACAGGCTGTGGTCAAGTATGGAACTAACAGAATATTAAAATTAAAATCTATCTGAAGGAAAGAAAGTTCTCTTCCAATTTAAATCTAAAAACTTAAAAACATACTGAAATACAAACTGCTCAAAATTCTTAAAGCTTCCGACAAACTACAAGGCTTTATTTTATCCTTAAAATTGATTCTATAATGTGTGATTGGTTTCCACCTGTTACAGGCAAAGTATGAGCTTTCTTTTACCCGACATTTTAACTCACATTTGATCAGGTTACGTCACTAAAGTCGCAAAATCTTATTCAATACATTCTAGCTTTCCATTTGTTTCCACTGGATATTCTTGCTCTGTACAAATAACATGCCTCTGAACTATAAATAAGTAATTTCTATGCAATAAGAAAAAAATGCAAAGCTAAGTGGACTAAAAACAAAAGATCTAATTCTCAGTGCACCCTTTCCAACCCACTGGAAAATAAACTATACTCTAATGAAAAGGCATTTAATTTAGTATTTGGAATATCCTTGATAAACACCAATTTTCTGTAACACCCCTGCACATCTGATACCACCTCATGTATAATGCAAAAAAGCTTTTTCATTTCATCTATTGACAGTGAATTTAATTTGTCATTGCAGCTCTTTTCCTAGAACTGTCATGTTATTAATTCTGCAATCAAGCTCTTTTGAGGGCTTTTATTTGTACTGAGGGTTTTCACAATTCCACATAGATTTTTTATAATATACCTTTTAAATATATAAATATGAATTATCAGGAAACTTCCCTAAATGTGTAAGCAAAGTTTCAGAGATCAGGAATGCCATTAGCAAAACTACACTTATAGGAAACAAACTTTAGAGAGACATCATATCTAGTAGACTGCATTTTATTTCAACAAATTTAATGTTAAACTAGAAACACATTTGATTCATCTAGTTTCAATTATTCTAAAACCTGCTCTGGTATAGTGGTACATCTGTACCACCAAATGAATGACTACAAAAAAAAAGTCCTCCAAATTATCTGCTCATTTAGATGCCAGATATATTAAAGAACTATCAAGCTGATTTAATCATTGAAAAATTATATCAGCTTTTCTTTTCCATCAGAATAAAAATAAATGGTTATTGGTCCCCTAATTATCAAACTAATATTTGTGTACTATAGAGGTAAAATAAGTCACTCAAATGGCAGAGAGCTTGATCTAAGTAAAAACATACCAACTAGTAATGTTTCAGCTAGGAGTTACACTAGTCCAGTTAAGAGAGTTCTCGATTAAACTTAGGTACATACACTTAAGCAACAAAATGATTTTAAAAGAAGATAAGGTAAAGCATGAAGAACTGCATAGCACTAAGTAAGAACACCACCAAAAAAGTAACAAAACAAAAATATTACACCACCCAGCAAACTTGCCATACTCCAGTAGGTTACTGAACCACAGACATTTTTAATCAAATATGGCTCTTAAATAACACAAATTTTAAAGCATCATTTTCTTCCTTGCATAATATAGTAAATTTCCTGATCCCAATTACATTAAAACAAAAATATTTTAAAAATCTGAAGAGGCAGCACTTGTCCTCTTTACTTCATCCAAGGCCAACAAACAAAGCAATGAAGCAGAAAGAGGTACATAATGAATTCAGAAGTAAATGGTCCATTCTTTAAGAAGCTTCCCTACCCCCACTCTTGAATTCACTCTAGACTAATTGTCATTACAATGAGGTCTGAAAACTTGAGAAGAACCTTATTTCCTGATGCCAGCTGTCCAGGTTTCTAACTTTACATTTTTGAGGTTTTCTATGAAGGAGAAGTATTCAGAAATAATTATGAGAATAATATTGCAATTAGTCTAAATTATATACACAGTATATCAACTATAGGAAGATATATAATCAACAATGCAACTAAGCTAAAAAAAATTGTTCCACAGTATACTCTCATACAGCAACATTTAAGTCTGTATAGTACAGCAATATTTGTCTTCACTATTATTTGATTTTTTTTTCAAGACAATACACAACACAGGTAGATCTTCCAATTCCTTCCTTGAGGATTCATCAAACAATCTCTTCACCAATGCACCTACCTGGGTAAAAATCTTTGGACTTAGACAGCTTGATGGTGGCTCCAGTTTCTTTTTGCAACTGAACAATTGTCTGTCCTCCCTTCCCAATTATAGATCCAGCAGCATAACTAGGTATGAGAACCTTTAGAAAATACTGGCCGTCTTCTGAAAAACGCAAAGAAATATATTCGGTTAACATGGTATTTTCACTCTGTATCCCCACTCCACCCTCAAGAGAGAACAGCAAGGAAAAGCACTGGGCATGTAGCTGCAAGAAACAGGGGGTTGAAAATAGGTGTATAAGAAGAATTAAAATACACCTACTACACCGAAAAATAAATAAACATAAAATGTTTGCCGTTTTTCTGGGGTTTATACTCCCCAACTTGGAACTCAAATCCAAACATGTTTTAATATTTTTGCAGTATCGCAGAAACTGATGAGTAAATTCCAGTTGTTATTCCAAACATGGAAGTCTTCCAATTCTATCTGTGATTACTATGGCAAAATAAAAGGAACTGGCCCTTTCACACAACTTCAAAGATTTGTTTAAAAAGAAAAAAAAAAAAAAAAGACAAACCTTCACTTAACATCTTGAAGAAAAAGATCCCAAGAACGTAAATAGAGATGAGCTAAATTTGTTTGTCATTAGCAAACACACAAGGACTGCAATTATCCCCGTGCCTATACCCTACTTAAAAGTCCAAAAAACAACCGTTCTCCTACCAAATAATCCACCCAAACTGTAGGGTGTATTCCAAGCTTTCAGTAACTGGCAAGAAAAAGAGAAAGAAAAAACTCAAGGGGGTGGACTGAGAAATCTAACTAATCCTGATGTATTTCTTTAGCACTTCTTAGTCTACTATGATCTCTCCTAAGCTCATTAATTAAAGGACCTTAGGAAGAATTTTGAAAACACTAAAAAGCTTAGGAGTCAATGATACTAAATACACATGAAAGTGACCAAATAGATAATGCTCCTTCTCCAAAAGAACCATATAACGGAGAGTGGGGCCGATAAACCAAGAAAACCCGGAAAGCTTTTCGAAAAGAACCAACTCCATAAACTTTAAATTCTCTCAACCTGATCATGTCTTAAATAAGAAACATCCCGGCAAATCCAGCCTTTTTTTTTTAAGGTTGCATGAATATTCCAAATTTTGCGCTGTGCCACTCACAAGACCCCCATCCATTCCTAAGGTATATGCTGGAGATAAATTCACCTCTGCTTCGATGCATTGGGTGCATTGTTAAGATGACTCCAGTGCAAATGAAGAAGCGATACCGGTCCCGTTATAACTCATCTTCCAGGGAAGCGCAGGATGTTAACTAACAAGTCACCGTACCAGACACCCCCCTCGTATGCACACCCTTGAAGACAAATCAATGAGATATTTGTACCGACAATGTAAGTGCGGTCAGGGCATGCACTCAACAAGATTTTTGCATACTACTTGTGGCCCAAAGCGAGGGGATGGACAGAGGCAAAACTCTCCGAAGCCCCGATCACTTGCAATCCGCTACCCAAGTGCCATTTATTTATTTATTTGATCAGACTGTTCAATGCAGCGCGCATCTTCGGGGCGGCCATCCCCTTCACTCGGGGGGTCATCCTCCTCCTCCTCCTCCTTCTCCTCCTCCTCCTCCTTCTCCTTAGCGGACCCCTCTAGCCCAGGTCTCGGGATACTTAAATGGTCAGCCTCAATCGACCGATTAAATGCAAAAGATATAGGTCTTATTCCGAAAACCTGGTCGCCATTTTGATGAATGATAAACACCGAGATGGAAATGTGCCGGGGACGGACGGCAAGGCACGGGGCAGGTGCATGGGGAGGGGGCGCGGGAGCCGCCGGGCTCGGCTCGGCTCGGGCTGGAGGTGTCCGGGCCGCGCGGGGAGGAGGGAGGGCGGCAGGAGGGAGGGAGGGAGGCAGGGCGGGCGGCGGGGGATGGGGCCAGCGGGGAGGTGGAAGCGATACCCACCGCCCGTATTGGTCCTCTTGGTGCTGCCGGCTTCAGGGGGGGCTTCCAGCGGCCTTTTCCGCGAGTCCGGCGGGTCCAGGTCTATGGGAACCCCAGTGTGGGTCCCGTTCTGCTGGATGGGAGCTGCCGCCATCATGTTTGCAGTTCCTTGCCGCTGCTGGGGGGGGGGGGGTGTTGGAGTAGGGGTGGAGGGGGGGAGAGAGGGGGGGGAAAGCTTCTCCCTTTTGTTTTGGCTCTTTTTTTTCTTTGCTTTTTCTCTCTTTTCCCCCCCTCTTTTTCGGTTTCTCTCTCTTTTTTCTTTTCTTTTTCTTTTTTTTTTTTTTTTGCGTGTGGGGTTTCTTAAGGTTTTTTTTGTTGTTGTTGTTTGATCAGAAAAGGAGCAGTGTTGCTGGCTTGTTCTCACTGGGGAGGGGGCAGGGTGAGGAGCAGCTGCAGTGCAGTGTCGGGAAGGAGACCGGGAATGGAGGGGGTGTGAGGGACGGAGGACGGAGAAGGAGAGAAGAAAGGAGCGCGCGAGGGGGACGCGCGGACCGGAGAGGGGCGAGTGAATGAGCGGGAGGAGGGGAGCGCGGAGGGCCGGGCCAGGGAGTGGGAGCGGCGGGCTGGCGGGGCGCGGCGGGCTGGCGGGCGCGGGGAGCAGCCAGGGAGGAGGAGGAGGAGGACGGAGGAGGGAGAGGAAGGGGGGGGGGGAGTGAGGGAAAGAGTGAATGAGCGGGGAGGGTGCGGGAAGGCCGGGGGACGCGGGGAGGCCGGAGCCCGCGAAAGGCGCGCGGCGCCCGGGGGGCCGGCGGCCGGTGTCTCCCCCGCGCTCGCTAGCGCTGCGCCCGCTCCCGCCGCTGCCGGGGCCGCTGCTGCCGCCGCCGCCGCCGCTGCTGCTGCCGCTGCTGCTGCTGCCGCCGCCGCCGCCGCCGGAGCGGTTCTGCCGTCGCCTGGGCTGCTCGGCGCTGCTGCTGCTGCTGCTGCTGCTGCTGCTGCCGCCCGAGCTCGCTCATTATTTCTCCCGCGCGTGTGTGTGTGGAACGGGGGGAGGGAGGGAGGGAGGGAGGGAGGGGGAGAGGAAGGGAGGGGACGGCGGCGAAGAGGGGAGGGGAGCGAGGGCTCGAGTTCGTAGACTCCCACACACTTCGCGCTCGGGTCCCTGCCTCTCAGCAGCAGCGCCGCCGCCGCCGCCGCCGCCGCCGCCGCCGCCGCTGCCGCCTCCCCGCGCCGCCGAAGCCTCTCAGCCCGCGGGGCGGGCGAGGGAGAGGAGGGGGGAGGGGAGGGGTGGCCGTGCGCGTGCGTGTGCGCGCGCGGGAGGGGGCGCGCGCGCGGGCGGGAGACCGCGCGGTGTCCGTGAGGACCGGAGCCCTGGCGCTCCGGTGGGAAAGCAGAGGTGAAAGGTCACCGGTCCCTGGCAACACGGCTCAGGCAAACGTAAAGCGGCTTGTCGCAGAAACCAAGGGGTCCAAGAAACGCGCTAGGCTGGGAGGGCGGGAAGGAGAAGTTACTGACAGGCGCGCCAGCCAATAAGATGCAAATGTGTGAAAGGTTCTGGAGGCCCCCTTTCCCAATCAGTATCCTGGCGGGGACGAGCGGAGCCCCCGGGATGCGACCTGAGCTCGGTCCAGCTGGGATTTGGAGCCGGTGACGACTGTAGCTCGTCCGGGGAAGGGCATCCGAGGGACCATTGGCAGCGGGTGGGACAGCGTCAGGTCTGAGCATGAGCCCGGACTCTACGCTCCCACGACTTCGAGCGAGATGTATGAGTTTGTTGTTGTTTTTTTTAAGAGTTCCGTAAAAGACATGAATTAGCATCTCACTGATAGGCGCTTTTCTACGCTGAGATTTTATCAAAAGAGGATTTCTTACTTTCACTATGTGACACCATCTGGGGACATGTACTGTCACCCGCCGGCCATACATCCCTTCCAGAAGAAACCAAATACAAATATATATATATATATATACATATACATATATATATATATATATATATATATATATATATATATATAGCTAGATGTGGGTCTCCACTGGACGCCCTGTAGGAAGACTGAAGACAGGCAACAGATGAGCGTGCACACAAACCAAAACGTTGGACGAAATACCAATGTGGAAATAAAACCCATGGCAATGTGCACGGTTTTAGATAATACAGATCTCGGGCAGATCACAATTCTGAACCTCAGCCCTACAACACTAGAGGGGGGAAAAAAATCTAAGATCGCTGGAATGAATCGACTCTGAAAGGACCATAGCGATGGTCTAACCCAAGACCTTTATTTTAAGAGATGAGTAAATTGACTCCCAAAAAGTATTTTGTTCAAGGTCAAGCAGCAAGTTAGTAGTTTAATTATCTCAGAGTGTTACAAAGCAGGGATAGTGTAGAATCTGGACTTGAGAATCTGAAATACTGGTTTCAGGTCCTTTCCCGGCTGTTCTAAGGCAAATCCCTTAACATGTTGCTATTTATTAAATGTTTACCACGCTGCAAGCAATCCACTTTACATGTTATATCCATTGCATGTAGGGTATCATATACTAACCACATTTTTTAGGTATTTTAGTTTGAAATATACTAGTGATTCATCCAAAATTGCACAGTAATAAACATTACAGTAATAATTTAAACACAGACCTTCCACAGTCTATAACTGTCATCTTAAATGTTGCAGTGCACAGAAGCTTCAGGTTTTTCCCTATTTAAAACAAGGGCTACAACTCCAGCTCATAGAAGTGGAATGAGATAATAGATGTGACAAAGTATTGTAACCTATAAGGAAATGTATAAACTTTGACAAGGTTTCTAGAATAAAGAAGTTATTTTTCTGCATTCCCCACTATAGATAGTAATTCCACTTGAAAAATGGCTAAGCTAGACTAAGAAGGGACATCCCTACAATTATATGATAATCTAACAAAGAATACATTGGTATCTGAGGCAATGACCTGAAAAAAAAAAAAGATTAATTCCTGGTAGACTGAAAAGGGAATGGGAAGCAATACTAGCCTTACTCAAGGAGGGACTTATAGTGCATTTTAAGTAATGAAATATAAAATACATTCTAATGAAAAGGAAGAGTGCAATGTACAATTATACTTGGGGTGTGAAGAACACACTTGCCTCAATTCAGAATAAAACACACTGAAAGCTGAAAAAGGGGGAGAAGCTGAAAATCAGTGCATGTTGATAAAAGTCCATGAGTCAAAATCCAGACTATAACAAAGAGGATTGGGAAAAAACCATGACACACCGGATTGGGGGGGGGATGGGGGGGTGAGGGGATGGGGGGGGAGAGAGGCATGGATTAAGAAAAAAATATAGTTTGGAGTAACTAGTCTAGATAATAAAAAGTTGATGCCAGAAATTGTGCAATCAAAGTGTTCTGCAAAGTGTACAAAAATACATGAGGATATTTGTACATGAAAAATTAGAAAAGATCTAGTTTTGGCACTAGATAATTTGGAAAGTTTTGTAGGTTTTAAAATATTTAGTTAAAGTGGTACTTATTAGACTATGTCAAAAATGAACTATCCAATTTGTGGGTAGGAATGGGAGAGAAAAAACTGAAAGACAGCAAGGGAAGGGAGAACATTGTCCAAAAATAAATGTACTAGCCAGACACCGGTGACTCATGCCGGTAATACTAGCTACTCAGGAGTCTGAGATCTGAGGATCGAAGTTCAAAGCCACCCTGGACCACAAAGTCCGTCCAGGAGACTCTTATCTCCAATTAACCACCAGAAAACCAGAAGTGGTGATATGGCTCAAGTAGTAGAACGCTTGCCTTGAGCTGAAGACCTCAGGGTCAGCACCCAGGCCCTGAGTTCAAGCCCCATGACCAACAAAAAAAAAAAGAAAAAGGAAAGAAAGAAAGAAAGAAAGAAAGGAAGGAAGGAAGGAAGGAAGGTACTCATGTCTCATATAACTAACTCCTCTCTACATCACCTTTATAATAATAAAAATATATATTGACATGATTCTTATTAATATGCCTCTATAATCCTGATAAGGTAGACCAAAAAATGGACATACTTGCCTGCTGTTCTCTGCATTTTACATCAGCTAATAAAAGCGAAGACATTTTTAAAGAATTGCAATATACAGCCTAGGAAATAGAGGTGAGAGGGTAGGAGAGAGGGGAGAGAATGGTGAAAAGATAGACTTTGATCAAGATGTACTCATATTGGCATGTTGAAATAAAACACAGTTTTTAAACTACTGAAAGATTATAAAATAATACAAAAGAAAAATACAAATAGTTGGTATCTACAGGCATTTGAAAATGTCCTTACTCATTTCCATGCTTCTGCCTTTCCTTTAATCAGTTCTATTACTGAAAGATATTCATCCTACCTGAGTATCTCCCAGAGCTGATATTTTGGGAAGTGTTTTCTGAATTTGAGTCCCACCACAGGTAGACACCTGAGTTAAGGATTCAAATCACCTATTTTGTAAGCCATTTCAGGAATCAGAAAAGAGACATGGGTAAGTGAGACAGTAAAGGGAAGGGAAGGAAAGCAATAAAGGGTGAATTACCAAAGATTTTATCACTGTGAGTAAAGGGAACTTAATGTCACTGAAATTTCCTGGGATCCAGTTTAAAACCCCAGCCTTGAAACTAACTCACAAATCGCAACAGAGCTGGGTATTTATGCACCTACTCCCTTCAACTATTGAGTGAGATCCATTTACAGTGATTAATTCAATGCATGTTGGACAAGCTGCTGTGCCTTTCTCAAAGAACTTTCTGTGGTAGATAGAGATGCTCTATCCTTACCCAGTTTGGAAATTCTGGGAAATTAATACCCCTTGGAATGGAACTTTCCCCATCCTATAGAAAATGAGGCCAGTATACAAAGAAATGATAGTGTAGATAGTATAGACAGGGCACAAACAGGTTATTACAATGTCAACAAAAATTTCAAATAAGAAAACCTGAGAAGTATGTTGCTACACAGTACTGTTAATTCACTTAACATCAGATAGTATGACCATGAAAAAATATAGAAACTAAAGTCATATATATTAAATATATATATAATTGATATGTAAAATATGTATCATTCTTATATGATATATATGAATACATACACACATATCTAATGCATATACAAATACATACACATACACACATATATATACATATGTATTTTCCACAATACATTA